GGTCCTGGTCCCCCCCCCCCCCCCCCCCCCCCCCCTCCCCCTACTCCACTGTCTCCCATCAGACAGCAGGATAAACCTCCTTGAATGCTTTTGTTATGGAGACACTTTGACAGCAGAATCATTTGATATCAACATGTTGGATCACATCCCCCCTTTTTTTTTCAAATCCAGCTTCTCCATTAGATGTGACACGAAACAAACACGTGCGCAAAAAGTTTTTATTTTTAATCACCTTCAAATAAAGTCCTTCCATTATCTCCAGCTGACATTAATCGTATTTGTTCCCATTTTTGTGTAAATAGTTCAAATCCCCTGAAATGAAAATAAATGACCTGCTCTCCTGTGAAAGCAGAGCGGGAGGAGGAGGTGACTTTTAGGTGGCTTTCCGCTCCACTACACCACCCTTCACCTCCGCCGTTCAAATGGCACCATTAAGGAAATGGAGGGCAGTGAGTGATTGGTTTAAAATAATGTCATTAGTTCTGCTAATGTCGTGGCGGGAACTCACTTTCTCCCAAATTAAACTCCAGGTTTTAAGCTATTTCTAACGCAATAGTGTAAAAATATGTCGTCGAACTTCAGCTTCAATACAAATATTTTTCTTTTCTTTTTTTTTTTTTACCGTGAACACATCTGCAGCCATGACGCGTTAGCTCTGAGGCCAATTTTAAACCAACTATTACAGATTAATTCACGGCGTGAAACGACCATCACGTTTGAATATGTTTTTAAATATGTTTTCATCTTTTCTTTCATATTTTGGTCCAAACCCTTTTGATTAGTGTCGCTTGTTTCGCGCAAAAGCCGCCAAATATTTATTATTTTTGATTTTCGTGCCAATTACGCACGAGTCCAAGCGATCCTACTGTGAACAGCTTGATAAAGAAATGACTCATTGTGTTCTATTTTTTCCCTAAATGTAAAACATGAGGTCATTTTTTTATTTCATTTTTAATCTTTGAAACTCTGAGATGATTTTTGTATTTTACGGCCTGACTGCACACACGTGCGGCGGCTGCACAGGAGGGAGGAAGGCCCATTCCAGAGCAATCAGAAAAAGATTTGTTGCTTCCCGACACGAGAAACAAACACACACCGTAACTCTGCGCCTCCGCCTCCGCCCACGGTCCGGTCGACACGTGCTTCTGGTTTTATAATGGTGTCATAATTTTAAAAAATGCCCTTCATCTCTGAGAGACTTCCAGAGATCAGGCCCCGTAAACACCAACAAAGTTCAGCTCGACATAGAGAGAGAGAGAGAGAGAGAGAGAGAGAGACTGACTCAGTCGGTATTTGTTTCAACACGCTCAGCTGCGTGGGGGCTACTGGAAAGTAAACTCACTCCTTCCTGCTCCTTTCTCCACTTTTCCACCCTTTTTTCGTGGGTAAAAGTCCGTCTCCACGAGGACGGACGCGTGGACTGTGTTGTTGACTCCAAGGGTTCATCTGCAGGATGAGCAGACAGGCCGCGGGTGATCGTGGACTCATTTTTCTTTAGTATAATTCGCCTCGGTGTCAGTGTGTGCGCGCCCCCGCCTGCTGCCCTGCTCCTCTCTGCTCCTCTCTGCTCCTCTCTGCTCCTCTGTCCTCCTGCTCCTGCTCTAATGGGTCAAAGGATAATGTTTACCGCAGGGAAACGTGCTCGACTTGTTTCCAACACCAGGAGGTCAGCGGAGGGTTCCACCAGGAGGCTGCTCCGTCTCCTCCACAGCGCCCCTCCGCACCGAGGCCTCACACAGTCAGCGTTGAAGAAAAAAAATACACTACATTTTTTATAGGATGCTGTAAAAAACACTTTGTTTAGTGCGTGTTGTCAAAGAGGAATAACTTCTATAATGTCGCCTGTAATATTTATGACTCCAAGTCAGATTCATACAAACACACTGCGGCTTTATTTGGTGCATTATGTCTTTTTTCTACTTTAGTGACGTTATTAAATACGAGACAATCACATTTGGATTGTTTTTTTTACAAAATATCTACGATTTTTCTGGACGGTTCGGTCATTAAACACGAGGAAAATATCGTCTCAAATTCCCCACAGCAGGTCTTCAGGTTGATTCTCAACGGTGCGATTGAACGCATTGCTACTAAAAACACACACGAGTGTGTGTGTGTGTGTGTGTGTTCACAGCGATGGTCAGAGCCATCGTGCCCGTGAAATGGATATATATTTATATAAAG